AAGCAATATTTGGCAAGGATAAAGAGGAGAATTAACAATAAAATTACTAACAATTAACACCCTATCAAACAATCTCAACATTAATGATTGACAGTCTACCTATTCTGTATTTTTACTCGAGCCTTCATGTAGCAACAGTCTGCACTTATTACTTGTAATGTTTTTTACTTATGCCTTTGATATGTTATTCATTACAACCTGCTTATTATCTATTTTTAGTCATAACTTTACTACATCAGTAGCCTATTATGTCCTTTATTATACTTTTCGATTTCATTTTTTTCTATTTTCTAGATTCTTATTAGCTTATTGAGCTAAACTTTGAGTTCCACATGTCACTTTGGGAACCTCGGTGCCGATTTTTAATGGCAATTCAATACCACTTCTATATTTATGTCAAGTGTCTTATTTATTTAAGTTGTCACATATTTTTTAATTTTTTAAAAATTCAAATTAATTTGATAAGTAAAACTGATACTGAATTTGGTATTGAATAATGGTATCGAAGATCCCAATCGGAATAAATATTGGGACAATGGATTGTTAGGTTATGATTGGAGCTACATGATAATTTAATAAATTTCTTTTTTTTTTTAAATTCATTGTCATGTTTTTCAGAATTAATTTTATAGCAAGTGTTTAAGCATAACTAAAAGAACTAGAATCATAACAGAAGGAAATCGGAATCGTAACCAAAATGAAACTGGAATTGAGATCGGACCGGAATCGAAAGTTTAAGAACCATAACCATAATTGTTTCTATAAGGGCTAGTTCAGGTTCACTTTTCAGAAGAATCATAACAGTAGGCTTTTAAACCGAAATCGACGATTTTGGAATCGTGGCTATGGCAGGGTTCAACTATCAGGGGGCCAAGTTTAATAAGCATCGTTATATTCGGATGGAGAATTATTTGAAAAAAATTTTGGATTGGTATATATGAAATAAAAAAATTTGTTTAAAAGATGAATAGGTGATTGAAAAACATGTTTATAATATAATCAAAAAAATTTTGAAATAGTAACCGATCAAAAGAAATGCTATGTTCCGCCCAAATGAATAGAGACTTTAAACGTTAATAAGTTGTTACCTAGATAATGCTAACGTTAAGAACATGCATTTTAAAGCATTTGAATACTACTTATTGTATTGTAAGTTTTGAACTTAAAACTTTTTTTTATTTATTGTTATTTTTATGTTTTTGATTGTTTGCCTCCTAAACTAAAGTCCTAATTCCTCGGCTTTCTGAAAAGCTGAAGAATATGAGAACATACTAAAAAAATGATAAAAAGGAAAGAAGAAGAAGTAAAAATCTGTTTTCCCATGTAATTTATTTCAATATCTGAGATCGTCAGTAACATCCCAACTTAGCTTAGGATTTGCCTTCAATCGCCATTAAAAGTACAAGATTATACCTTTGGTAAAAATAAAAAGGAACTATATAATTTATACCCAAGGTGTCCTATATGTCTACATACTATTGCATTGCCATCAAATTTGGACGTAATTTTAGATCTTTTAATTGTGTGGTGCGAAGGCTGGAAAATCTTAGAATGGAAAAAAAGTTTTTTTCTTTTTTTCAATGGTTTAATTAGTAAGACGTTTCCCTTTTGACTTATGAGTCATAGATAAAATTTAGTAATTGGAGTTCCACTTTTGATCTTTTCTGAAATATAAGAGAAAAAAGTGTTCAAATTAAATAGAGGCTTAAAAAAATTTTCCGCCTAGGAATTACCCATGTGAGTGAGAATTGTGATTAACTTAGGATTGATGCCAAATACAGATAAGAAATGGACTTAATAGTTGTTCTTTGCATTAACTCAAAATAAATCCCAATTGTGTTGTTAATTGTTATGGCAAAGTATCTAGTTCAGTAATCTTGATTTGATTCCCATTAATCATGGTAAAGCATTTACAACCAGAAATTTGTTTGTTTAAACCAGTAAAATGGTTGGGTCAATCACATTAAATTCTAAACCAAAAACTGTAGTTAAGTGTTTTAAGTACAAGAATAATGTATTTAGTTTACTTGACAACACAGAAAGTAAAATGCTTGACTCAGCTTGAGGACGTTAAGGCTTAAGATGATTCTTTTCTTTACAAATGCCCTAGGAATTCAGGCTTTAACTAAGACTACAAGGCTTTCATACTTTTCTTAACAAATACCCTACGAACTTTAGTTTTAAGTAACTAGTCATCTTTTATCCTTTTCTTTACAAAAACCCTATAAATCATCATTCTAGTTGCCAACCCTTTTACATCAAGAATAAAACTGTTTTTTTTTTTTTTACAACACAAATAATAAAAAAAAGAAAAAAATGTTTTACGACTTTAGAGGGATGAAAGATTATTGTTTTCCTTACAAATATCCTTGGCCATTGTGGTCGACCCAGTGGTTAGGAAAAGGTTATTGTAATCTTTTCTAGTATCAGATTCAGAGTTTGAATCCTGACCGTTGGGGATGAAAAGGATGTGAAGAAAGGTTGGAAGATTAAAAAAATCCTATAAATTTATGTTTAAACTAATAATATAAATCTTGGATTGTCAGCGTCATTGCAACTCTTTTACACACAACAATAATGTGGTTGGTTTATTCGACAACACAAACAGAAAACTCTTTGACTTTAGAGGATAAAAGATTATCCCTTTCCTTTAAATATGACCTAAAAATTTAATCTCAAGTTTTAACTAATCCATTTCTTTACAAATACCCAACAAATTTGAATTTTAACTAAGCTTAAACATCATTTATCCTTTTCTTTAGGAAAAAAAATCCTGGGAATCACCATTCTTGTCTCCAAATCTTTAACATACAAGAATAAAGTGGATGCTTTATTTAACGACTTTTACATATTTTAATAAAATTTGACTACTTTAGAGGATGAAGGATTATTCTTTTCTTAACATATATCTTACGAACTTGAGTTTTCACACAGATTGTAAACCTCCTATGCATTTAAGTGTTCGTTAAGATCAAAATTCTTTAATCCTTTTTCTATTGTGATGTCCTAAGAGTCATCATTGTTGTAGCCCTCTTTTACATACAATAATAAGGCAGCTGGTTCATTTGAGAAATCACAAAAAAAAAAAAAAATTTTGGAATCAATGAATAGCTAAGCCTCCGTCGTCGTAGCTTTCTGATTAGGTAATAACTAAGGTCCTATTTGATAATCCAATTCAATACTTAAATTTAATGAATTCAAATCTTAATATGTTCAGATGCGTTTGATAATCAAAAATTGAACATTTGAATTAATTAAAGAATATTGAATTTCTAAACAAAACTTGCTCCCAAAAATAAGTAATAAACTATGCACTTATCACTTAATATGATGCACACTCAAATGTATCAAATTTAATACTTAACAATTCAACAACTTAATGAATTTAGACTTCAAATTTCAGATTTTAAATATCTCATTTTTCAAATTTCAATTTTATCAAACACATCCTAAGCGAACAGACTTCAAAATCGTTCAAATATCTAAGCCTAAATGTTGTAGGTGCACTCGTATGAAGCTATTATGATCTAGATATGATCGAGGCCATTATGGTCCCAATTGGACTAAAAATTCAAATAAAAAAATGTGCAAATTATTTTGATTTGATCCGGTCTAAGCAGGCATTCTAAATCCTCTGTGTCCTTATAGGCAAAGCTTGGTAGCAGCAATCATATTTTATTACACTTCATCTATAAATCTTTTGCTACTGGGAAAAAATTCTTTGCTTCTAAACTATAATTGTAGGCGAAGCCATTTTTCCTATCAGTTGTCTTTTTCGGAGGCCAATGACCCGGTAAAAGTAGCTATCTTTTCCTCGACTACGTGAAAATAGTACTAAATTATGAGCACGAAGAATTAAGAGCCTTGGCTAGCTGCCAAGAGTATGAGTATGAAATATTAAGAGCTGCATATGTTGACGTATCCACCAGTACATAGACTTAAAAAACCATGACCACCAGCGGACAAAGTAGAATGTTGGTTTATTTGACTGGAATTATTCTGTTCACGTCATTACCATACTGCTTGTTGATACTTTTGGGAACTAGTCACCATCACCGGTGACTAAGGTACGTCTCGAGACTACAAGTCGTTTATGGAAATACTTACTGATTACTTGGCAATATATTTCTCATAGCAGTAGTTAAATTCGAACGCACAATCATTCTTACTAATTAAACCAACATGCGTTGATACTCAATTTGTTAAGTTTCACCCTATAGAGTATAGATCATTTTTATATACACTAACTAACAGTGTAGACATTAGCACTATTGAATGATACTATTTAATTTTGATTTGAATTTGAACTTTATTTTTTATATATCTGTCATGCATTTTAAGAATATTAGTATTATACACTATCAATGCATGCAAGTTTAATCTATAAAATACATCTATACAAGAAGAATCTATAAAATTCACCTCTTTACTGTTGTGAAAGACTTCGAACAATTTCGGACAGGCAACTGTTTGAAGCTATTATCTACTTCGTTGTTTGTACCGAGAAGATCTCGTTACATTTAAGCTTTCATAGTCAAAATTTATGTTCAAACATTACGCACACAAGCATTTTAGAAATGAGTATGCATGTACTAAGTTAACTGTTGATAGATTTCTGAAAATGTGCTAGAATTGTTACCGTCATTTGTTTGGGACAGTCACAATCTGAAAAAAATACTTCAAGCCAATATATACTGTTGATATTTTGGAGGAAAGATTGAGCAAGTCAACATGTGTGGCCAGCTGATGCACAAATAGGTATTCTTTGTCTACAAAAACAAAAACTATTTATATCCTAATTTGGTTGGTTTACTTGTGGACTTAAGCTTCCTTAATTTACGTTGCTGCATTATCTTGACTTGGTGTATATTTGTCTGTTTGACTTCTATATTTAGTCTATAATCATTATAATACTAGTTGCAGATAACTCCAGGAACTAAAACTATAGCAACCTTTCCCCGCTATAAATAGAAATCATCTCAACTACTTTTTGCACTGCCAACATATTTCTTCCAACTCAAAAATGGAAAGGATAAACCTAACACTTTTCCTTGCTATCTTCCTGTGTTTTCTGAGCTTTGCTGCTGCACAAAGTGCCTCAAATGTTCGAGCCACATACCATTTCTATAATCCTGCACAAAATGGATGGAATCTGAATGCAGTTAGTGCATATTGTTCAACATGGGATGCCAATAAACCCCTGGCATGGAGGAAAAAATATGGATGGACAGCTTTTTGTGGACCGGTTGGACCTCATGGTCAAGCTGCTTGTGGGAGGTGCTTAAGGGTATGAACTTTTTTTTTTTTTTTTTTTTCTGAGAAGCTTCCCATTTTTTTGTAACTTCAGTTATTGGTTGATCTAACGATTAATAACAAAGTAGCTGAATGTATAACCAGAGAGCAGCCTGCATGATTTAGCCAAAAATAATCACGAACAAACTGGACTAATTTAATCACATTGGGCTCCCAAAATTTGTGGGAGACTTCCATGGCTACATAAAAGCAAATAGCGCATGGCGCTCAACACAAATTAATTGTGGATTAATTTGTTTTGAATATAAGTTAATTTTTCTAAAATCATCATTAATATGTTTATATATAGAACATATACACTCTTTCAATATTTGAACTTCATGGATGTACTCCTAATCGTAGATATCAAGCTCCTCTATTACTTTTAACTTTAATCATCCATATATTTGCTTACACTCAACTAACCAAAATTAATAATTATTGGGTGATTTCATTATCTTTATATTGATGAGTACATTAACACACTTAAAAATCAAATCCATCTAACTACACTTCATCACTCCATTTGCACGAAATATTTGGACGGTGTAGGATGGGCCAATATCATGGAGAAATTATATTTATTAATCAAAAGGCGGAATATAATCAATTTAATATCACTTTATGTGCATACCTAAAATTGGTGATAAATTATATTATGAAGGGTTTAATTTATGTGCATATGATTATAAAATTATACGTACCAGAGTGTGATCAATGGAAATTTTCTCCAATAAATGGAGAGGAGCCTAATGAGTAAGAAACAAATTGATGCAATCCTTCTCAATATTGTAAATTGCAGGTCACAAATAGAGCAACAGGAGCTCAAGTTACTGCAAGAATTGTTGATCAATGCAGCAATGGAGGGCTGGATTTGGATGCTGCTGTCTTTAAAAGACTTGATACTGATGGAAGGGGCAATGCTCAAGGTCACTTGATGGTCAACTACCAATTTGTGCCGTGTTGAAGTCCTCGTTAAGAGGCTGGAATTTCCTTTTTGTTACAAGAACTTGGAATAACATGTCATGTCAAAAGAATATAAAATTTGAGATTTCTCTTCCAATCTGAATAAGTTCACTCCATAGAGGACGAAAACTTTTTCAGAAGTAAAATTTCGTGTGCAAGTTTGCAATAAAAGAGTGAATAAAACAGTCATGACTTTTATTAGGAAATCTATCATTCCACTCAAAACTCATTGGTTGTTGTTTTTTACTTTCTTTCTTTCTTTCTTTTTTTAACATAGAATCTTAAAGAATGTGAATCATTATCTGAAACGAAAAACTAAAATTCTTAACAACTAGGAACGTATCTACCTGTCAATAGTATGGTGAGATTTCATTTCCAGTTAAATAACGAATTATACATGTGCATCATGATGATAAAGCATTGAAGCAAGAAATGATTTAGCATTGTCTCAATGAATTTTTCAATAAATCTCCATTTCTCCCCTTATTCCATGTGATAACGCTAAGGGTGCATTTGATAAAGCTGAAATTTAAAATTTAAAATCTAAAATCTGAAATTTGAATATATTAAGTTATTAAATTGTTAAGTATTAAATGTAATACATTTGAGTGTATATCACATTCAATAATAAATGAATAGCTTATCACTTATTTTTGGAAGCAAGTTTTGTTTAGAAAATTTAGTACCACTTAATTAATTCAGATGTTCAATTTTTGGTATCAAACGCGTTTAAACATGTTAAAATCCGAATCTATTAAATTTAAATGCTGAATTAAATTATCAAACAAGACTAGTTTACAAAGAATGGATTTATTATTTCCCACTATAAATGGAAAATACTTTTTTAGCACTAACAAGTTTAGATGCATAACATTTAAACGCATTTCAAATTAACATGTTGTTTCGGCACATATGGCCTGTTAGAGAAACATTTGTCTTGAAGGTATACCATGACCCCATCACGTGGGCCTTAATCTTGACAAACAAGTATAGAAAACAACAAAAATAATGACGTACAATCATGGGAAAAAATGTTTTATTTTCCGCAAGAATATATCTGTCATCTAATGTAAGTTCTTAACATCCGTAATAAAACTGAATTCCCAGTTGTCGATGACCTCAACAAAGCAAAGGAAATCAATACAAGCAACCAAACTAAAAACAAAAGGAAAAAAAAAAAGAAGAAGAAGAAGAAAGAAATCACACACGCAAGCACGCAATGAAAAAATTGGATTGCACGATTTTTCAAATTCTATGGCCACTGAAAAGTGACAATGCCATAATTAGTACAAAATTGCTAAAAAGCTGGGAAAAGTATTTCTCGCAATGTTATCAATCCTGCTGATGGTCAAATTTTCCAATCTTCTGGTTGTCAGAAAGGCCTTCTCCAGCCCAAGAAAGGTTCCCCAAAAGGTATAACATCTGCTTGTCAGCCCAACACAGGTCCCCAATGAATGTACATTCATTCTTCTTCAGTCTCCTCAGACTTCCACTTTTAGCAGTTTGCGCATTGCCTATACAGGATAGTTACAGGTTGATTACAAAAACTTTCACTCTTCTCCAAGAGCAGGTCTAAAATCAGGGGAATGATCATTCCTGATGAATATTTCCAATAAGTGTCACAAATTACAAGCCTAAAAACATTTCCAACAAATAAAACCAGTCCCTTGATGATTTAAATTCTCTTCATTACCCTGGAATTAATGCCCCCACTAGGCAGGCAGTCTAGACTCTAGAGTCGGGACTCTTTAAAGTTTTTTTTTTTCTTTTTGGTCTAAAGAAAACATTAACTGTTATTTTTTTGTCGTTGAAGACTAAATTTAAGTGCATATTCAGATAAAAATGCTTAGATTAAGACAACTGCATGGAAGAATCAATAAATTTGATATTACATGGTACTCTGGCAAATCAAGTGTCACCTCCTATTACACCATATTTTATAACCTTGATATACAATTAAGTTACCAATTGAGGTGCCATATTAAGGGACAACTATCCTCATGAAGATGTTAATCATTTTTGCATAACACAAAAGCCCATCATCGATAAAACTCAACATGGCCTCCTATTTCCCTGCACAACAACTTCACCTCACCAGCCAACTTCAAGCTTCTACTAATTACAAGACCTGTTTGTCTATGCGTTGGTGTTGGCTTGTGTGACATGGCTTCCTCCTCCCTTCCCAATGAAAGAGCTTCCCTTGCTGGAACCACATTTCCCCACCAAAATTCCCATAAGATGCCATGTATCAATTCCCAATACTTACGATCTCTGCATACCCGAAATACTGTGCTCCCATTAGGAGTCCAACAATACAAATCAACCCACTCCCTATCCATTACCTCCATTTGACCCTGCACTTGAGGCATGTAATAGTAGGGCATTCTTTTCCAAGGCAGACATGTCTCTGGCTTTCCTTTATTATACGGGCACTTCACTTCCAAAATCCCACCTCCTGGGAAGTGACCGAGAAGTCCATCTGGGGAGGCACCAATCCATTCAAAGCGCTCCTCTGAATGGATAGCGAAACCAAGGGAGCTAACATCACGACCAGTGATGCTTCTGTAGCGCTCTATAGCTGCTGCTTCGTTCAGAACACCCCAGTCCATGGCATACCTTCTAGAAGCTTCCACTAGTTGCTCATCTGGTGAAAACACTTTCTCATACCAGAGCTCGTACCGACGATTCCCTTTCCAGAATCCCAGAGCAGTGCTGAATGTGCTTGTAGTTAACTTGTCCTTGCGAAGTGCAAACCATTCATCAGAACGCTGTGGAGCATCTGAGGCCTTGAGGTGTGCAGTCAAGAATAATGAAGGGTGATGAAAAAGGGGGACACTCTGAGAGAGACATGCTGATGCACACGTGCAAAATGATCTAAGAAAAACAATTCCAAACTTTCTTCTTCGAGGGATTGCCACCGTTGCCTTGTGAAAGCTATTGAATCTAGTGATACAGGCATTGGTCATCAGAGCTGCTAGCAACAGCGTCTAGAATAAATAGATACTCCTACAAAGCCACAGCTCTTTATTTAGAGGGACATCAGAAATTCAGATTCACAGAAAAAATAAGGGGAATATAACCACATAACTTCTCATCAATAAAAGAAAACAAAAGATTTCAGTTTATAGTACATTAAGATCATCTCAAAAGAACCCAAACAACAAACAGTTATGTTGCCCAAACTACCAATAATTCTATATTTGCCACTCTTAATATCAGTAGACTTTCACAAAGGAGCTTGAAAACATAGAAAATTGGTAAAATAACTATAAAAAAAATGAACAAAATAAAAATGGTGTCCTGAAATGAAGTTAACAGAGCCAAAGAGGATATACAAATAATCAAAAAGCAACAGATACTTTTGAGGGTCTCATCAGGCAATATCAAGTAGCTTCTGAGTGTATGTTCCATATTTTACCAAGTCTATATCCAACACAATTTTCCAACCAAAAATACCTGCTGAACTGAAATACTCAAATAATGAGTATTAATCACAGAATTACACAACCAACTTCCATAGACCAACAAACTCTAACTAACCCGCTTGAGAACAACTGCATACAGTAGAATCTTATCACGATAAGGTCTCAATTAAATGTTTACGCCCTTAAATTTAGGTCTTCAAATTGCAGGTCCAAATTCTCCAATCAAAACTCAAAAGTCAAAATAACTGAAAGCCCATTAGACTAAAAGGCAACCCAAGAATAGAAAGGCATCTTAAGCCATCTACAAGATGAAAATTCACATCTTTTTTTTTCATTCTTTCGTTTGTACATTAACAAAACACACTACAGAAGCAAATCAAATGCTGTTAAACAAGAAGAAAACAACCAAAGCAATACATGATGAATTTTAGAGAATGAAAAGATATATTCTTCACACAATATTTGGGTATAAAAGACGGAGTAAACTTGAAGCCTACTAAGTATTTGTTATAATACCTGAGAGGAAAAAAAACACAAAGATATAGATTTCAGCTGCTGGATAAATGGCTAAGCCCCGTAAACATTTCTGGGTTTTGCACAAGAATTAATTTTAGCCCTTCGCGGGACCTTGAAATGCAGAGTTAGACGACGGACGACGGAAAGAGACGGACGAGAGCCAGTTTAACTGTATCTGACAATTGCCTTTCAACGTTTTCGCCACCGTGGCGAAGAAAGAAGTCGTAAGCCACATATAAATCGTTCTCTTGGGCAACACTGAAAAAATCAATCGGAGCCCAACAGAAACGGGCCACTCATGTGTCAATCCATTTCATAGGCCAGTGTTTCAGTGCGGTTCAAACCGGAGATCGAACTAGGAATAGAACCGGAAACAGATCGATCTTAGAACCGGAATTGTGACAGGACAAGGTTCACGATTCCGGTTCTTCATTTGGGAATTGGAACCGGAACTGGTTGTTTCTTCTGCACGATTTTAATCGAAGGAAAGGGGAAAAAAAAGAAATACGTACAAAACAAATTAAAGTCTAGGCTAGTTTCTCATCATTTCTCACTAACTTTTTACCATTGTCAAAAACTTCTTCAAATTTTAACAGTTGTAAATTATGCTCTTTGTACTAGGTTTGATGTATTTGATGTATATTTTTCAATAGTTTTTCAATAATCAACTAGCAAAAAACAAGAAAATTATGTCTTTTTCTTAAAACAAATTGAGAAGAATCAATAATATAATTAAGATACTTTTTCATAGATTTTTCGTTATCTTTGTTTTTGTTTTCTAATTATTTCTTTAAAATTAATTTGTAGCCGTAATTGTAACCAACAGGAACCAAATTTGTAATTAGAAGGCATCGAAACTGAAATCGAAAGTTTTGAAACTAACACTATAAGGACCATAGAACCTGATCATGTAGGATTGAAATCAAGTCAAGTCAAACTTCAATATCACTATGTTCGAAACTCAAGCTCATTACAACTTTCCTTACTTTAACTCAAACTCAAGTTCGTCGATATATTGAATGAAAAGCTTGAATTCGACTTGATCGCTTATTGAGCTTGAACTCAATCTTCATTGACCCTTCGCAATGCTTTTTTTTTTCTTCAAAACTAACTTCTGTGACAACTACCCACAACGCAAAAATGATTTTGTGAGAAGGTGTGGGGGAGAGATAATTATGACCAATTTCATGAATTTTATTTCAAAATATTTGATAATTGGACCAATATGAAAAAAAATTTCACTAGTCCAACAAAAAATATGAACAAG